TGGGGCAGTTCTCCTCGGTTCTATAGACTGACCCACTAGGAGTAGGAATCAACTCGAGGGCAGTAAGTGAGTGTTAGGAGGCAACAGCGTTCAATGGTGACAGAAGTAGATTGCCTCATCTTCCTCCTTCAGCCTCTGATCCAGCGGTTAGCAACCCAGTGTTTGTCCTACAGCAGTTAGTGGAATTGAGGCTCAAATAGGGAAAGCGTAGGTCCAGGGTAACGCAGGAAAGCAGCCGCAGCACCCAGGGCCCTGTTTCCCAGCCTGGGGGTTTCCTTCCCCTCAACCCCGTCCATCTTCCTGCTTCTTCCTCAGGTTGAAATGGTTAGTTCCGCTCTTTGACTCACTCAGGTGTTGAATGACTCCAGTCTTTCTTGTATCTCTATCTTATTCCTTCCCAAACCACTAAGCTACAAATTATGTTTTGCTATTTCTGGTTCAGATGGCTCTCTGTGCTGCCACATGTTCACCCCTTTTTTGTTGTGTCAGGGGGTGCCGAGCTGGTTGAGACTCATGCCAACAGAATGAAACTTTGCCAAGTCCTGCACCATCCTCACAATGGTTGCTAGGTTTGAGCTCATTGTTGTAGCCACCATGTCAATCCATCTGTGGTCGTTACAAAATTTGTCAATGTGGGACTTCAGAGAGAAGGGGTGGCGTGTAGTCTCTCAATCAGGTCGCATATTGGTGACCTCATTTGGAGGTGTTAAGGAGATAAATAGCTTGCTGGAGGTGGGACACATGTTCACTCCCTGTGAGACATTCCTGTTGAGAAGACATATGGGACTGCGCTACAGCCCTGGAGCTGAAGGAGCCACGTGGGGATCCCTGCCAGTGCTGAGATGCTTCCACCACCACTGGATCCACAAGACTTTCCACCCACTGGCCTATGATATTGCTGCATTCGGCGTCATTGCATGTGTTGCATGAGTCTCAAGAGGACTTTATAGATTGGTATCAGACATATGGGTTAATAGCGGACTTATGGACTTGATCTGGACTGGGCTGGGATGTTTTATCAATATTCAATTGCTCTTGTATATAAAGCGCTTTCTTATCCACATACAAGTGTCCATGAGTTTGTTTCTCTAGTCAACCTGGACGAACACACCATCTCATTGAAGGTCTTCCTTCCTCTTTTCCCGGACTCGCTACTTGACCAAGTCTGATGTGCTTCTTGAGGCCTGGCTTCTCCTGACCACATGCCTGAAGTCATAAGACAAAGCCTTGCCATCCTTGCTTCTAAGGAGCATTCTGGCTGTACTTCCTTCAAGACAGGTTTGTTTGCTTTTCTGGCAGTCCGTGCAACATTCCTCACCAACACTAGAGTTCAAATACATCAATTCTTCTAAGGCAGCGCTTCTCAACCTGTGGGTTGTGACCCCTTTGGGAGTTGAGCAACTCTGTCACTGGGGTCACTCAATTCATAACAGTAGCAAAATTACAGTTATGAAGTGGCAATGACAATAATTTCATGGTTGCGGGGTGACCACCACATGAGGAACTGTATGAAAGGGCTGCGGTATTAGGAAGGTTGAGAACCACTGCTCTCTGGGCTTCCTTATTCATCGTCCAGCTTTCACAGGTATATGAGGTGACTGAAAATGCCATGGCATGGGTTAGGCGCACCTTAGTCCAAAAAGTGCCGTCTCTCTGCTCTTTAACAATCTAAAGAGGATTTGCACAGAAGCTTTGGCAGTGCACTGACTTACACGTTGGGCTGCTAACCACAAGGTCTGCCATTTGAAACCACCAGCTGCTAACCTGGGGGGAAAGATGAGGTTTTCTACTCCTATGAAGTTTAAGTCTTGGAAACCCAGAGGGGTAGTTCTACCCTGTTCTAGAGGGTTGCTGTGAGTCACCATGAGGCCGTATTTTTCTTGATTGACGCAACAAAACAACAAGCGCACCAACACACAAAACAACCTCCTGACTACTATTGAGTTGATTTCAACTCATAGTGACCCTACAGGACAGAGCAGAACTGCCCCTATGGGTTTCTGAGATTGTAAATTTTTACAAGAGTAGAAAACGTCATTTGCCACCCCTATGGAGTGGCTGGTGGGTTTGAACTGCTGACCTTGCAGTTAACAGCCCAATGTGGTTAACAGCCCAACACACAACCCCCTGTATCACCAGGGCTCCTTGGCATTTACATAGCTGTAAGCCTCTGACTGGTTTCCAAAGTTCTGACAAAGTTGATTCTGTCCGTTTCTGCCTTCTGTCTGTATTTCTGTGAGCAACACACAGGTCACCATCTTGCTAATATTATACCCCCTTGATTCTTAATTCCAGTGCTCTGTGTGCGTGCGTGCGTGCGTGCGTGTGTGTACGCATGTGTAGGTGCATTGTGATGCAGTGGGGAGAGTTCCTTCTTAGGTTGTGATGTCCTAATGTCTACGATATAGGATTGGACTAGACAACATCTGAGGTGCCATTGCTGGCTTTGGAGTTGGAGGGCCCAAGGCCAAGGACTGGACATCAGACTCTAGGCGCTGGCAGCAACCCTCAGCCAACAGTCTACCTTCTGCCAGCAACCCGAAGATGCCGGGGAGTACCAGAAGTGAACTCTTCCCAGAGCCTCCAGCTAAGAGGCCAGCTCGGCCCCATAGCTGGACTTCGGTTCGGATGCAGACCAGAGAACCCAGCAGAGTCACAGCCTGCCTGGACTTCTGGCCCACAGATCTGGCAGATAAGGAATGGGTGTTGTGGGCGGCTTCGGTGGGTGGGGACATGCTGTGCAATGAGAGAACACAAACTCAGCACATGAACTGCATGGGGACCCAGGATGGGGTCTGGCTTGAGGTCCCCTCAGGTGACACGTGGCTCTGTTCCTCTATTGCTGACTCATGCCTCCACTGTCCACAGGCTTTTAGAGGCCTCTGCTATTGAGAGAATGCTAAGAAACACCTTTGGTCGCGAGTCCAAAATATCACCGAGAAATCTTGTAAGAAAGGGAAGGGGTGGGAAGGCCACGAGAAGCCCATCCCTGGCCGCCATGGGTGATTAGACTGTGAACCTGGAAATCAGAACCTGGACCAGTGAGGATGGGCTAGGTTTTACTGTTGTAACAATTGACGTCAACATCTTAGCTGCTCCTTGACAGCAAACATTTGCGTCTCTCTCCCACGACATGTCCTGTGTGGGTGACCTGGGAGCCAGGCACGTGGTTGCCGCTCAGGGCCCTAAGTGGATGGCGCTTTCCAGCTGCAGGCGACCTTCACGATCCCAAGACCATGGGAAAAACGATGTGTCACATCAAGAACTGGTCCTTGACATGTGTGCCCAAGGCTCCTCCACTCACGCTTCATCGGCCAAAGTGAGTTCCATGAACATGCTAACTTCAGAGAGGTTCTGAACAGGCCAGTCTACCTTATGCCTGGAAGGACACCCCCAAACACCTCTCATCTAGTGTCTGGGGCCATGCCTCTTTCTCAGTGCTCTCACATTCTCAGGGGACCTGGCCTCTGCCTTTCTTGGGGAGTTCATGGAAGAAGAAAACCCAGGGGGGCTTCCTGACATCCTTCCTGGTTGTGGGTTGAGGACAGGACAGAGAGTGGGCCAGGGAGGAACCGTGGGCTCCGTCTCGAGCGTGGCATTCGATCCCTGGAACAGTTTAGAGTGGGGCTTAGGTGCAGGGATACCGTGGAAACCTATCTGATGAGGGCAGGGATTTCTGCTTGTTTGTTCACTGCCGTCTCCTTCCCACTAGAGCGGGCACTCAGGACACTAGTAGGCACTGTTGTGTTGAATTAGAACCAAACACCCTGCGCTTGAACCTTGGCCGTGTGGTTTATTAGCTGTGTGACTTTGCAAGCCACGTAATCTCTGAATGCTCACAGCTCTTCAATGCACCGTGCATTGTCTCCCTCCCCTTCATGGCATCATTTCTGCACACCCCCATTCATATTTCAATAATAATAATAATAAACATCTTCTCATTAAACCACTTGTCCTGAAATCCTCACGTGCTTCTGGGAAACCCAATCTAAGACACTCTATTCATGCTTAGGGGAGACCTGGTAAGGAAAATGGCATGGAGGTCACGTCTGAGCTCATCTGGTTCCCAAGACACATCACCACCCCAGAGGTCAGGCATACCTCATGCTCCATCCTTTTTACCCAACCCTGGCACCAACTGCCAGTGCCTGGACTCCATCGTTCATTGCCATAGCCTCACAGACAAGACTCACGATCAAGGCGCCTGTTAGGGAAATTAATAAGTTACCATTCACATGAGAACGGCGCATGATAGAGTTGCTCTGCCAGGGCAGCTTCTTCTCTATCGTGTCTGCAGGCAGGATTTTGATGGCCTCAATTCATAGTGAGTTGACGAAAGCAAGTCCGTGGTTATGTCCAACTTGAAGGTGTGTGGGATATGCAATTCCTACCAGTGTCTGGACAGGGGCAAATGGGGGTGTATGGAAAGAACCTGGCTGACGGACTAGCCTGGAATCTGTTTCTAGGGGACACTGATCACAGGAAGCCAATGTCAGCACTGGAATCTCTCACTCTCATCTCGTGGGTGCAGGGACCACCAGCATCCCTCTCCTTTTTCAAGCCCCTCTATGTTACAGGTGGTGGGGACGGCAGAGAAATGGGGTTTCTTGGTGCCCGACGCAGTGGTGTTGGGCCTTCAGGGAGGTGAGGAAAAGATGGGGTGCAAAAATAGTAAGCGATTCAACATATAACACATTGCCACTTGCAAAACACATTCCAAATGCCTTGGTGTTTGCAAGCCACTTTGTGGGTTACGGAATGTTCTACTATTGAGCAAACCATTTGGCGTCTCTGAATCCCATGTTTCATATACAAAGTACTTTGTAATTCAGAAAGAATACATAAGATTCTGTATCTTATACAAATACTCTTCAGCCTCCAAGTCTTTAAGTGTTTTAAGCCTGGCGGACAATGAAAGGCAGAGCGCTGAAAGTTGTTCACAGACATGTCGTCATTTGCAAGTCACTTTACTAAGGAATTGGTTCAATAAAACAATCGTCTTAGGTAAAGACTCCGAAGGGTAGTTTACTTTTTACAAAGCATTTAAAAATGTAATTGATTCATTTATCTTTTAACAATCTTACCAACATGACTCACGTTTCATATAGTTCAATAGCTCAGTCACATTTTTAAGAGTCGTGTAGCCCTTACCACTGCCAATTCCAGGACATGTCTCCTTCCTCATCCTTGTGGCTGTCAGCTCCCCATTTATGCCAGCCTCCTCTGCCATGTCCCTTGGAATCTACTGAAAAGGGTCATTAAGCCAAGTAGATTGTTAAATGATGTGAGTCCTATTACTGCTATAGGGTCCTTATGAGTCAGAATCAATTTGACAACCCCAACTTGGCTTTTTCAAAAATAATGCAAGATCTGGAATTTATGAGCTATGCCATTTGAAATCACTCTACGGTTGGGAAAGTACAGGTGAGCATCCTTGCGTGTCCACCATGCATTCTGTCAAACAGGATGTTATGTGACTTGGACGTTGTGGGAACATCACCCAGCAAACTTCTGCGCTTCAGCCATGAGCAATGGCATTCAGTCCTTTTCCTTTGCAATTCTGCACCTGGCCGTTGAGTGAGTTCACCATTTCCATCACTGAGGACTCCATGAGACTGTTATCATGGGATGAACACCCTATTTATGAATTCAGGAGTCCAGGTGGCATGCCGATTAAGCACCAGGCTGCTAACTACAAGGTCTATGATTCACACTCACCTTTGCGGGAGAATGGGGAGACTGTTTGGCCCCTGAAGACCTGCAATCGCCGAAACCCCAAGGAGTAGTTCTGCTCTGTCCTACTGACGGTGGCTGTGAATCAGAATCGACCGGATGCCAGAGGATTATATATAAATGATTTTGTTACTTAATACATTCCGCCCTTTACACGGTGGAAGGGACTTTGCCTATTAGGAGTCATTTGACAGTTATAAAACACAGGGTTGTTTACCTTTAAAAAAAAAGTGTTTTGCAATTCAAGAGCACTTTGTAACATGATGTAGACAAATCACACTACATTTTAAAATATCCTCTGCCCTTAGAAAGCTCGCTGATGTTTGCAGAGTATACCGCAATGTACTGAACTCCTCCTTGTTTACAGAACATTTTGATATTTGAAAGTATTTTGAAATGGACCAACATTTTAAAGTGTACCAAGTGTCAGATCTCTGGTAAAGGTGAATTTATGTGCAAACATGAGGCCACAGTTTGTTGTGTCATTTTTTGTTTGTTTGTTTACAACTCTACGTGTTGGGTCTTCTTGTTGTTAGTGTCCGTTGCGTCACTTCTGATTAAAGAGACTCTGTGGACAACGGAACAAAACACTGCCCGGTTCCCACAAGGGTGGCCATGTTGGAGCCCGTTGTTGGAGCCGCTGTGTGAAACCACCTCATCGAGGGGTTTCCTCTCTTTCCCGGCCCCTCTACTTCATCAATATGATGTCCTTCTCCAAGGACTACTCCCTCCTGATAAGGTGTCCACCGTGATAGAAAACACAAATGCATGAAACAATGATGCATGTGTGCTGTTAAGCACACATGATGAAGATGTTAGTTGTGCGAGCAACAACAGATGGACAGGGAGGAGCTGTAGAGGATCAGAGTGTTGGTGCGCTGTTGAAATTAAGATGGTACCAGTTCAAGCTAGATGATTATAAATGTAGGATGTTAAGTGTACTACCAATGGTAACCACACACACAAATCTAAAAAATGTGCAAACCACCCCCCTCCACTCCCAAATCAAACCAAACTCATGGCCATCGAGTCAATACTGCCTCGTAGTGACTCTGTGAGATAGGGTAGAACTGCCCCTGGGAGTTGTCACGGCTGTAACTGTTTAAGGGCGGAGACAGCCTCATCTGCGCCCCACAGAGCTGCTAGTGGCTTCAAACTGCTGATCTTTCAAGTCACAGCCCAATAGGTAGCCACTGTGCCCCCAAGGTGCCTTAGACAAGAAAAGGAGGCGAACACCAGAATGGTTTACTACAAAGAAATCAATCCAATACAAAAGCAAGAAGCATTACAGGATATTGCTGTTGGGTTCTGCCGAGCTGGCTCTGACTTAGTGACCCTATGTAAGACCCCATGAATAACCCCATTTTAACCCTATATATGACCCTACGTATAACCCTATGGATCACCCTATGTATAACAGAGGGAAGCACTGCCAAGTCCTGCACTATTCTCACAATTGTTCTTCGGGTTGAGACCATTGTGGCACCACGGTGTCCCTCCATCTTGTTGAGGGTCTTCCTCTTTTTGGCTGCCCCTCTACTTCAACAAGCACGAGATCCGACTTGCCTCTAAGGGGCATCCTGCCTGTACTTTTTCCAAGACAGATGTGGTTGTTCTTTTGGCAGTCCATGGTACTGCCAATGTTCTTGGCCAGCACCGTGATTCAAATGCCTCAGTTCTTCTTCAGTGTTCTGTACTCAACGTCCAACTTTCACGTGCACCCGAGGTGACTGAAAATATTGCCATGCCACAATATTTTTAAGACTATGAAGGACAAAAGAGGGAGGATGGGAAACAAATGGTGATTTGGCAGTAATCAGTCCATTTTTCATTCATAATTGCTTTAAATGTAAATGGATTAAACTCTTCAATCACAAGGTAGGGAGCAGAGAGAGGCCAGAGGACCTAAATCTGGCCAGGGCATCCCCAGGATCACCACGGAGATAGATGCTCCCATTGGTGTCAATCTCTCTAAGGAGACCCTGAGCACCCTATCCCATGTTGCCAGCGTCTTCATGCTGCATGCCACGTCTTGTGCCAACACCTTCCCAGTGAAAGGGAAGCTCAAGGCACTAAGTGCCTGTGGCGCCCATTCTGCCGTGAAAGAAATGGAGTTCCAGCAGTTCATTACTCCACTGAAAGCAGCTCGCGAAGCAGACAGGAATGAGCGGAGAGGCAAGAAGGGACGCTGAGGGGCAAAGACCAAAAACAAAGCAGCCACGTTTGGAAGCACAAGACAAGACAGCGAGGAGACAAACAATGCAGGGAGGAAAAGCTGGGAGAAGAACAGAATGAGGGCGTTAGAGACGGACAACTGAGCGGGATGGGAAGACCAGGGCACCTTGAAAGCTACCGCTCTGAAGTACGGTCCACACTAGCCTTTAGCAGATGAACCTGAGATGGGTAACACTGGCCAGAAATGTCACAGAAACCAGTGCTTCCTGGACTGAGAGCATCCGAGTAGCAGAACTTTGTTTGGGGTCATCCATTGAAGGGGGTGGCAGTTAGATGGGGTGGCAAAGTGCACTTGTGGAGCGCCGGAGTCCAACCTGCCAATCCGGTCCCAGCCTGTTGCCTCCTGGGAGGCATGACCTTTATGTGAGAGAGATGCTGGGCACTCCTCCTTTCTCTCTGCCCCTTTGCCTTCTTGCCTCACTCCAGGGGTGGCCTCATATGGGCCACCTGACCCTGAGAGCTGTCAGCGCCATGCCATGCCAGTCTATTGCAATCCCTGTGCTGGGTTTCTGCCCGAAAGAAGTAATTCTCAGAGCAAGAACAGACTCATGCACTCCCATGTTCACCAAGGCACTGTTCACATTGCCAGAGATGGAAGCAACCTAAGTGACCATCAGCAGAAGAATGGATAAAGAAACTGCCATGCGTGGGCACACACACACACACACACACACACACACACACACACACACACACTAAGGATCACTAAAAACAACAAAAAAGGATGAAACCACAGAGTACCGCATGCTGTGGATGTACCTGGCGAGCATTTTACTGAGTGAAACGAGTCAATCACAAAAGGGCAGATGTTGGTTGCGACCCCTGTTCTAAAGAACAAAAACCTTCTAAAACTGACTGTGGTGTTGACTGCACATCTCTTTGGAATGTATTCAACCTGCTGAATTGCACATGAATTATATGGTACTAAATGTAATAAAACAACACCCACACACAACCAAGACTTTTATTCAGAAAGGAACAGACTTTGGAGGTTGCCAGGTGGGGAGAGGTCAAGGGTGGGAAGATGAGGCTAGAGGTTGCACAGGTGTGAATTGGCTGAAGGAGAAGACTGATCCACGAGAGAGGGGAAGTCAAAGGACGCGGGTAGGATAAGCTATTGAGGGTTTGGGAAGTAGTTTAAAGTGTTGACTACAAAATCCAACATGATCTGAAATGCCAACCTCACCCTCCAATTCATGATAAACGATGTTGAGAAGGGGTGGGGGTAGGGCAAGAGAGGAGACAGATGGAAATAGGAGGGGCAAGAGGTGGAGAGACAGAGAGGGAAGAGGAGCAGAGAGGCTCTTCAGGAGATGAGGAGGAGAGAGTGGGGAGAGAGGAGGGGAGAGAGACACGGGGAGAGGTGGGGGTGGGGGAGACAGACAGACAGTCTAGAGAGGGAAGGAGAGAAAGAAGCAAAGGGAGAGGGAGACGCGCAGAGAAGGAGGAGGAGAAGGAGAGGTTGACAGAGAAGCTAGGGAATCTCAAGACCTTAACTCACGGACAGCCAGAGCTTGAGGCCTGGGAGGAACCTGGGTGAATTTTGCCGGTTGTCGGCAGATCCTGTGGTTAGGGAGCGAGAAACAGGGACAGGGGTTGTACCTCTCCATGCCTGAAGGCCCCCTACAGGAGGCTGCAGAGATCAGGTGAGCCCTTAGCCAGCCATGAAGCCTAACTGGGTCTGCGCCGATTCAAGTGTGAGCCAGGTGGCGGTACACCTGGGCGGCCCAAACTAGGCCCAGGAGGGCTTCATTCAGCCAATGGGGTCAACCAATACCTTCGACCACCCCTCCCAGCCAAAGGCCTCAAATACCTGGACCTGGAGACCACTGGCCCTGTTTCCCCCTTTTCTTCTTCGCCCTTCAGTTTCGTGCCCCAGTCCCACTCTCTGGCCCCAGGACACCACGTGTGGGTGCCCAGTCCCACGAAGGTGCCTGTGTTCAGTGACTGTAAAACCGGAATCTTCTTTCACCTTTATAAAAACCCACTTGGATCACAAACCAGGCTTCGGCATGAATTCTTTCTCCTGTGAAGCCAACAACCGGGGTATTTCCCACTCGAGAAATCTAACCCTGTCAGCTCTGGGGGAGTAATCCCTCCAAACCTGGGTTCTCACCTACCAACTGGGCAGTGCAGTTCCCACCCTTCTCCCACAGGGGGCGGATAAGCCCAGGGTCACCATTTCGGGGACAACAGCACTCCCTCATAAGCCTCCTTCCTCAGGGCCACCTGGCTAACAGGGCCTGGACACCACTCGTCAAGGTTGCAGCTGGCTTTGTTTGGATAGCATGAACCAGAGCTGAGGTGGTGAAAGCAGAGGTCAGGCCACGTTAGGAGTGAGACTGAGTGTGTTAGTCTGGGTACTTTAGAGACACAAATCCACAGAAACTCATGTATAAGAGAGTTTTATATAAAGGTTAAGTGCACATCAAGAAAACATCCCAACCCAGTGCTGGCCAAACCCACAAGTCCAATATTAACCCATATGTCCAATACCAATCCACAAAGTCCTCCTTCATCTCACAAAACAGACGCAATGACTCCGACTGCAGGAGGAAAGCTGAGTCAGTGAATGTGTAAGCATTTCAGCGCTGGCGGGGGTCTCCACACGGCTGCTCCAGCACCCAGGGCTGCATCGGGGTAGGTCCATACGGCTTCTCCTTGGGGATGTCATGCAGGAAGTGAGCCTTGCCAGCTGAAGCAGGGAACTGGCTAAGGCAGGTGCACCCTGGTCTGACCATCCGGAAGCAAGAGACCCAAGAACTCGAAAGGTGAGGCTCACTGAGCCATTTATCCCTCCACCCTTCAATTAACCCACGTGTTTATCGGCCAGGTTGGCACAATCAACTAACTATCTCA